CACAGTAATATCCAGGCACCCCAGGGCCCCCAGACTGCAATGCTATGGCATGAGGCACCAGCGAGCTGCACACAAACAGCATAGGGGGGCCCTTTGTCCACCTGCTTCATTTGTACTTCATCCTTTAGGTCTCAGCATAAAGGTCCCCACCTCCAGGAAGCCTCTCTGGGGGACAGAGGGGTTGGACTCTGATTCTGGGGCTCCACACACATCTGCTTCCCCCATCAGAGCCCTGAACACTCTGAGATGTCTGGGGATGTGTCTTTCCCCCTTTTTGGAACATGAGCTCAGTGAAGGCAGGACCTGGTACTGTTTCCGTCACTACTTTTGCTGCAGTGTCATCTAGCACAAAACCATGCCCAGAAATCTACAGTAAATGCTGAACTAGCATCTTTGCCTCTGCCTGTCTCTGTTTCTGAACCTCTCTTTATGTCTCTAAATACATTGGTCTCTGGCACACACTTGGGGTGTTACATCCTCTCAATCCATCAGGTTTTGGCATAGCTGTGGTGAACAGTTCCATGCACATTGCAGATGTCCCCGTTTAACCCAGTGGTTCTCAAAGTGTGGTCCTTGGACACAATAGCATTAACATCACTTGGGAAGTTGTTAGAAATGCAAATGTTTGAGCCCCACCTCAGACCTACTGAATCTCTGAGGATGGGGCCTGAAGGACTATGGTTAACAAGTCCTCCAGGTCATCCTAATGTGGCTAATGCGTGAGGACCACTGATCTAGCTCACACAGGCATTCCTTCGTGCTTTTCTACCTCAGATCATAGATGACTCTCAGTACCACCCCCTCCCCTCAAAGGGCAACCATCACCCAAGGGAATAAGAATGGATGGATAAATGCCCCAGCCTCTCTGAACTTTGCAGGGGGAAAGAGGGTGGCGGGCGGGGGGAATGACAATTCTGATGTGTTCTACAAGCTTCCTTAATGTTCTCCAGCAGAATTGAGCCCTAGTTGCCCAGAGAGATTACCTCATTTGCACTTTCTATTCATTTTCTTCCTCATCTGCTTCACTCTGCCCTCTCCTTTGCCCATTTCCTGGGATCACCCCCCCCCCCAAATCAGCTAGTTCCACTGAATTCTAATCCCAGTCTGCTTGTGGGATTATCTTCAGGTGTTTCCCTCTGCTTCTCCCACCTCCACCACCTCTGTAGCATCTCTGTAACTTCTGCGTCCTTTTTTCTTAGTATCTGTCTTACCAGTGTCCACTGTGCTGGGCCAGGAGCGCTGATGAACTTTGCTAATGACCTGGAAAGGCAGGCCCTTGAGCTGAGTTAATTTTAGCTGCAATTTTTCAATACACATAAGTGGAAGAGGCCAAAAATCTGTTTTGAAACCTTCAGCAGAGCTAGGGATGCCAGGGTGGATGTCCCTGCCCCCAACAAGGTTGCTTTACTCCTGCATTCAGTTTGGGGATCCCAGGGGTGGTTGTTGACCATCCAGGTTCCCCCAGGTTAGGGCCATAACTACTGGCCAAGGCTGTGTTCCCTTTGGACCAAGGCCCCCAAAAGGTCAGGTCCTCCCATGTTGCTATAACCAAGTTCCCAGACCAGGCTTGTAGACGACTGCCTACATCCCTCTTCTTGTGACACCACCTATCAGGAAACACTTGGGGCCCCACACCCTACCCTCCCCTATCTTCTCACAATCATCAGGATAGACAGATACCATGCATGGTAGGTCATATGTTGGTAAAATTCCAGTAGGGTCTTCTGTAGGGACAGTGGCTCTGAGTAGGGGAGAGGGGAAGGCAGTGGACACACTTCTCTGGGTCATCCTGGCAAGCCCCCTGCCTCTGTCTCATTTCCTAACTTCTTCCTCCATGGGATATCTTGTCAATGTGTCTTGATGTCTAGCTTTAATTCCAGAGGGCACAGGGTCTGGGAACCAATTTTCCCCTTGCAGCTAGGGCAAGGAGACTTGGGAAAGAATAGAGTATCCCCTCTGGCCTGAAAGGCCAGGACTGTTGCTGGGCAGGGGCCAGGTAGGGCAGCTCCATCTGTGGAAAGGACATCCAGGGAGGTGGTGCTGAGACATAAGGGGTGGAAAGAGATAGGCTGGGGTCAGGGGAGGGGTTCTGGGATGGAGGGCCACGTTCAAGGCTGTGAGTGAGAACTGGGCACACACACACAGACACCCACCCTCACATCTGAGTTGCCCCAGCTCAGCCTCTCTCTCTCTC